TGAAAGCATGACTATTATCTTACAAGTTCATTATATGTGTTTCAAAGATCATATGTGCATGGTTATATAAATATTCTAATTATATAAAAGCTCTAACCCCTTGACTTGTCCCCTTCTCACATCAATTCATAAAGTCTTTATGACTCATATGTTAGTTTTTTCCATTTTTGTTGTAGATTAGTGATAGCTATCAAGCACCAGTGTCACAAAAACACGGTCCATTCTTCCTTTGGTATGTGACGTAGTAGCCTTTCGAAGCTCAAGGAGTCAAGTCATATTTCACTTGACAAGTTGATCTTTATGTTTCTGCTCATAAATACATGTTTGTGTTTGAATGATAAGCCAATGGATGGCAAGCTACTTATATTAATTGATGTACTGTTATGGATGATGGCCTGAGGTTTTATGAGCACTTGGGGTGAAAACTTACAAATTTTATATGAAATGTACTAGGTACACTTATTATGAATAGAAAATGCATACACATAGTTATGTTGAGAAATCTATAATTATTTGTTACACCTATGTATAAATGTTATGTTTATGATGATGAATGCTTTACGTACAAATGATAATGATGGCGAATGAGCCAAATGTGATTGATTGATGATAGAATGATGAAAGAAGCTTACTAGGGTTTAGTGGGCCATAACCATATAGGTCCTAATGCCAATCATAATCCCTCCAAAATATAAGATGTAATAGTTTGCTAGCACAAACTTTGGCCAAGGGATTTATTAGCTTTATAATGATTATAGTTTTGATTATGACAAAATGATCAAATTTGCTTAAACATTATTGTAATGATCTTTGACAAATTCTTGAAATGATATAGCTCTCAGACATTTGTTCTTATATTATTACAAGCTTAATTGTTTAGTTCTATGAATTCTTAAAGTTATTGAATTACCACACACTTGTTCTACAAATGTCCACTAGCTTGAATGACTTAATTATATAAGTGTTAAATTTGCTTAAAATAGTTCTATTTATGATCCCTCTAACATTTACCTTTACGATGTTGAAGTTACAAGATAGGTTCTTAAGTGATGGACTTTATCTCGAATCACTTAAAGATCATCAATCTACACTACACCAAGCTTGCTTTAAGTCGAGAAACCCAATCATCACTCAACACTTGATCAAAAAGAAGAAGCAACAAAGAAATAACTGAAGTTAAGTGTCAAAATGTCAAGGAATTTTAAACAAACAAAGCTTCAATCGACCCTAGAGTAAAGCAAGTCGATCTTATGGAAAAATAGGCAAAAGCAAACAAAGAAATTTGAAAAGAAATAGCCATAATTGACCCCATAAGCTTTATAGTCGACCTTAAGGCAGATCACTTGCAAAATTTGAAGAATTAAGAAGACATAGTTGACCCTAATGAAGCCATAGTCGACTACACTAAGCCAGACTTCAAAAATACAAGCTTTCTGAAAATGGATCTATTAGAGAACTTTTATACTCGACCATAGATGATCGTTAGACACAAAATCTAAAATGAAAATAGCTAGTTTCTTATTTTAATTACCTCGAATGGCTCCAAGACACTTTCAACTATAAAAAGGAACATTTAGATGCATTTCAAGTTAAGGAAAAAGAAAGAAAAAAAGGCTAAACTCTTAAAGATCAAAGTCCTAAATGAAAATAAGCAAAACCAAGCCTTCTTAAGCTAAAATTTCTTTATGCTTTCACTCATATCTTTATATCATATCTTCATATCCAATGTTAGGCATTCTTCCTCCATTGTACCAAATTAGCAAAATCCACCTCCTAGAGGCACATTTGCTATTCCTTGTAAAGGTTCTAACTCATCCTTGAAACGTTAGTGTGGGCTTGTGGTTGAACTCGAAAAAAACCATGGGTTTTGCTTGATCCTAGTAAAAAGCTTTGTGATGGTTATGGTTACTTTCATGAAAAGCCATTGTGAAGGTTTCACTTGATTTAGTAAAAAGTATTGTGAGGGTTTCACTTGATCTTATAAAAGGCTATCGTGATGGTTTTGCTCGATCTCATAAAAAGCTCATTTCGCTTAATGGATTTGAAATTCTTTAGTGTTCTAAGAGAAAGGATATAGGCATTTGAGAAAGTCGACCCTTTATAAAATTTTTGTGTCTTCATTTTTATTTTTGCTTTGATTTGTTGCATTTCATTTTAAGAAAACCCATGTCATAAATTGCTTGCATTTTGATTTATATTCTTCACATGTTGATTTGTCTCTTTGTTAAATCTTTTCAAACCATTATCTTTTGTCTATCACTTGTTGAAAAAAATTTCTTGAAATGTTTTTCTCTAAGTAGCCTTTATTTGATTTACATTTGAAGAATGTTTTTAAACATTTCAAAGTGATCATTTGCTTATGTTTGATTGAATAGCCTTGATTAAAACTTACATGTATACCAAGGTGTTTGTCTATGATCGATCCTTAAGTTTTTATAGTCAATCACGAGTTTGTTTGAAAAACATTGAAGTTGCTCTGTTAAAAGAACTATAACCATAGTCGACTAGAGATTCTTTATAGTAGACGATAGAAAATTGTTTTACACTTCTCAAAATTTTTAAAATCCAATTCACCCTTTTTTGGATATTTTTGTTACTTTATTCAATGAGTTAACATTCTTAATAGGATTCACTCACTTTTGTGAAGAGATTTAGGCAAATCACTCTATGGATCACTATTAGAGGTAGGACAATTATGCTAATATGGTTTGATAAGTCCTAGTTGATGTGCAAGAAGAGAAAAAACTAAAGAAGACTCCACGAAAGGAAAGTAGACATCAAACTTTCAAGTATATGTCAAAATCTTTCTCGTATAGTTTTTCTAGATTAGTTTCAATTTAAGTGTTCCATAAAGGGATGAAAATTTTTTAATATTACACTACATATGATCCACCTTAGCATGTTTCAAATTCCCAACAATCTTAAGGATCAATCGTTTTCAAACAGAATGATTTTTAACATTTCTTGCATGCTAGGGATCGATTTTTCCTTTAAGGAATCCTTCCCTTTTGTCCAAAGAGCTTTTGAACAATCCATGCTTGTAAAAAGATCAATCCTTTCCTTTAAAGAATTGATTCTTTTTAAGTCGAGAGCAAAAAATTCCTCATTACTTTCCAAGGATCGATCCCCCTTTAGTAAGGGTTGATCCCTCATTCATAATTTCAAATTTAATGTAGCATGGGAATCCCTCCTTATAAGGATTGATCTAGAGTATGCTTTGATGGTTCCAATGATTAGTTTCTACGTTTAATGAACCCTAATGGCTCTGAAAAGCTCTCTAACTATAAATTGAAACTCCCAAGCACATTTATGAAGCAATTAAACTCAAAACAACAAATCATTATGAGAGAGTAACCTTTAAACATCAAATTCTTATTTTCTCTCTCAACAATCAAGTCTTCACTTGTATTTATTGTTGAGCTCAATTTTCCTTATCTTTCAATTATTACTCTTGAAATTCCTTGTACCCACTAAGTATATCAGTTTTAAAAAGGCATTCTACCTTTGTTTATTCCTCATTATTGTAAATTAAGTGTGGTTATACCTTAACCTTTAAAAGGTAGTTGTGTGGTTATACTTTAAGCATCAAATAGTTTGAATGCAAATCCACTCACAGACAAAAGATATCTTTCTGACACTAGTTACTAGTCTACCAAGACTTTGCTACATGTAGAATCTAAAAGCTCCAACGGCATCAATAAAAGTCAAAAATCTTCATTGATCTCATAACTTTCATAAAATACATAATACTCTTATTTTTCAACCAAACCCTTATCAACCTATTCTTAAATCTAAAACCCAACACTAAATCTCCTTCATAATCATATTCTTTTAATACCCACAATCCAAGTTTAAGATAAATTTACCTTAGTGAGCTTGTGTTAACAAAGTTGAATAGGACTTAACATTTTAGAGTGAGAAACAGAGTTTTAGAAAGAGAGACAAAGTTGAGATTGAAACCCATGGATCTTAAAAGTAGTCGAGTTGAGATCTTACCCTTAGAATGTTTAGATAGCAGAATCCAAGTTGAAATCCATGTTTGATTGGTGAGAAAATATGGAAGGGAGGTGAGAAAGAGTTAAAGAGAGAATAAAGGCAGAGAAAGGCATGAGAAAGGGAGAAAAGACGTTAGAGGCTTAAAAGAAGAACAAAGGTTTTAAGGATTTCAAAAAATTGTCATTTTTTTCTTTACTTTTCATAAAATGTGTGTAAGTATCAATACCTAAGACTCAAGTATCAATACTTTTGAGGCAAAATGGTTTTCTTTAGGTTTTTGAGTATGAAGTATTGATACTTTTTAAACAAAATGAATTCTGGGTATCAAGTATCGATATCTTTAAATCGATACCTCCCTTATAGTTATCAATACTTTTGAAACAGAATGTATTTTTCAAGTATTTTGAGTATCAAGTATTGATACCTCTTTCAAGGGTATCGATACTTCCATTGCAAAATGCCCCTTTTCTCATAGAATGCACCTTGTTGGTTACTCTCATCCTCTTTCTGTCATATAAACTAATGGCTCGTAAAAATTAAGTTATCCAAGGGATAAATTTTAAGAATATTGGGTTAAAAAAATGTTTCCTAAACTCACTAAAGGATCTTACCATTATATCTTTATAAAAAATGTTGGGTTCTATAGAACCGATAGAATAATTAATTTTTTTTTTAAATCACTAACTTAATCATGTTGTAACATATGATTGGATAAAAAAACGAAAGAATCATCCTTATTCAACAACATTTAATATCATGTTATCAGTCACGTGATAATAATTTCATCCACATAACACGTCAACTTATCATATAATAAATTACATAATATTAAAAGTATCAATTATATCATTAATTAATAAAAATTAATTAATAATTAATGAGAGAAACTTATTTAACTAAAACAAAATTTCATGAGTTTAATTAAACACAATGAAAAAATAACTTCCTCGATTTATTTTCGTAAAATTCAGGTACTTATTTAATTAATATATATTCCAGAAAAGTTCAGGTTAAAACCACAAGAGTTTCCGTCTACCAAAGTACATAAAATCGCAGTTCCCAAAATCCAGACTCCCTTTCATCCAAACGGGAATTACTGGACGCTATTCCTTCCGTCGTCCACAGCTATCCACCACAATGTCAGACCGCGACTGGCCTCGCGATAGGGACCGAGAACGCGACCGCGACCGGGACCGTGAAAGAGAACGCCGACGCGACAGAGAAGACCGCGAGCGAGACCGAGACCGAGATCGGACACGCAGCAAGAGATCCCGTACACCAGAGCGCACCCGATCACGTCACATGCGCTCTCGAACACGTTCTCCCGACCGCAACCGATATCGTTCACGGTCCCGTTCTCACACGCGCTCCCCGGAACGCTCCTCCCACCGTCACCACCGGCACCGGCACCGAACCCCATCGGCGGAGCCGCCAAGGAAACGGAACCGCCACGAAAGCGAGGAGAGGGACAAAGAGAAGGATAGGCAAAAGGCGGTGTCGGATTTTGTGGACGAGATAGCGAAAGAGCAGCAGCAAAAGAAAGAAAATAACAGTAACGAGAACGAGAACGGAGATGGAGGAGAGGAGGATGAGATGGAGATGATGAAGAAGTTGGGGATTCCAGTTGATTTTGATTCCACGAAAGGAAAACATGTTCCTGGTGCTGATGTCAGTGGAGTTAGGGCTGTGACTAAGCGGCAGCCCAGGCAGTATATGAATCGAAGAGGCGGGTTTAACCGTCCATTACCCGCTGAACGCAATCGCTAGAATTCGTTAATTGATTGAAAGCGTTTTCAAGGTTAGGTTTTTGCTATGGTGACTCTGCTGATTTGTGTACTTGTTTCGTGATTCTATTTTTGGTGGGTTTTCTCCTTTTTCATGTTATTGTAAGCGGATTTTTGTTGCTTTATCAGCTCAATTATTGAACTTGGAATCAAACCGTTATTTAAGTTTGTTGTTTGATTTTTCCTTGTTATGTGCTGCTGCTACTACAAGGAAGACAAATGTTGAAACTAACTAGCTCTAAGAAAATTTAGCATGTGCTTGCTTAGCGAAAAAATTGGTTTCTGGCGTTTGAGTTCTTATCAGAGTTACTGTGAAATATGAGTTGCTGCTCTATTTAATAAGAATGTTTAGTTTTGGGATTTAGAAGCCAACTTATCATATTACAAATTTGTGTAATGTGCGTGTGTGTGTGTGGCTATGTGTTACTTTTTAAAACTTAGTCTATCCCAAGTTGCTGTTCCATACAGGTTAGTCATCTTCCTAGCATTGGCGATGGTCATCCATTTTGAGTGCTGGCATGAAAAGCAAGGCATATATTTAATGATACTTGATGTCAGAAAGACGTCAAGCAGCAGTCGTCACTAAAGATGTGAAAGTTTGGTGAGTTAGTTACAAGGTTCAAACTGACAGTATATGTGCTTGACTTGCTTGATGTACTTTGCTAAGGTATATCTGTTAGATTGAATGAAGGCTGATTTTTTGGAACTCGGTTTCCTTAGCATGGGATGCCCATATCAGTGGCTGTCTTAGTAGTCTATTTCTATGTTTTATTCAATTTCCTCTGTTTTCTCAAAATGTCAGACCAGGAAATGGCCATAAAACCTATTCAACTAGTTGTCCTGAATCACTTTGGTGCATCACACAATTACGAGTGTTATAGTGCTGAAAATTCCTGAGGAATACTGCTGTATCTCTACAGAAATAGTACCTTGATATATATAGATTCCAGCATCTCTAGTCGCATAAGGACTACTTTAAACCCTAATATACATGAAAAATACCAATTATAATCTTAATGCCTTAATATCTAGAGAATAAGTAAAATACTAATGCATAAAATAGTCTAAACAAGTTAGTAATCCGAAATGTTTATAATAAATTACAATAATGCTCATAGTATATGGCAAAATCACAAAATAAAATCTTCTGTAGTTTAGTCCCCCAAGCAACTCTTTTCCGTGCTGTATCATCCATTGTCTCTATGAGCTTATTGATGGCTCCAATTAGTAGTTTATTGGGCTTGACCTGGTGATTTAGATCCACAATATCAACTGCTCATGATAGAGATGAGTTTAATATTCTATACTGGTAGAAACCAATGAAAGAAGCTAGAAAATTTTTCTTATATGCTTTTTCACAGCATATGGGTCAGTCAAGTGGAAGAACAGGAATTTCAGAGCTTGTGATGTGGCCACAAGATAGATGGAAGAGTGAAATAGTATGCAGTATTTGTACACCATGTCGAATAGGGTTTCTTATAACTCGAGCTTAGTAATGATAATAATTGGGTGTTAGGCCTAGATTGCATCAAAGTTTGCTTTTCTTTTCTCTCATTGGTGTGGAGAAGCTTTTCTCCAAGATAACATAAACATGTTAACCGTTTGAACTTAACCTAAAACTGCCCACTTTTAGGGTTTGTGATGTAGCAGCAAGAAAGATTGAAGAGTGAAATAGTATGCAGTATTTGAACACCATGTGTATTTGGGCTTCTGTTAACTTGAGCTTAGTAATGATAATAATTGGGTGTTAGGCCTAGATTGCAATTAAGTTCACTTTTCTTTTCTTGCATTGGTATGGACAAGCTTTTGTCCAAGAGAGCAAACGTGTTAATCTTTGAACATAAGCCTAAAATTGCCCACTTTACGAGCACCATGTCTAACACCATTGAGTGGTAGAAAAGAAGGTTGGAAACATACAAGGAACATATTAGCTTATAACTTTGTGGGATCTCAAATTAGCTATATACCTATTGGTTTTTTACTTTGATGGCCAGAGGATATATACCTTGTTATTTTTTATGTTTAATATGTATAAACTATGCTGCTTAACTTTTATCATATTTCCTAAATTACTCAAGCCAGACAGATATCTGATACCTTGTAGTGGAGAATGTGGCCTTTATCCTCTAAATATAAGGAAAAACTTAACAACGATTAAACATACCCATGTCCAGTACTTGCTGACAAGTCTGAGCAACATAACTTATGAATCCTTTTCTAACGGAGCCCCTAAGTTGAAAGGAAAAAAAAAAAGAAACAGGCAAGCTAACAGCCAAGCACCTGGACATGTATTATGTTGAATACTCCCTCCAAGTTTTCAGCAATATAGACTTCCACCAATTCTAGTTTACTTTGAGGGATTAACTTAAGATTTTATTTTGTTACTTTGTAGTATTTATAATTGTAATATTTTGTAGATTTAGGGTTATATTTGGTATTTTATATTTATATTAGGGTTTAGGATCTTAGTTGGCGTTTTTCCTATCTTATCAGGTTTTGTTTTAAATTAAGGTTATTAGTTTTCTATTTAGAGTGTTAAGTATTGTTTTGAAGTCCTATCTAGATGAGCTCTAGTTCTTTTGGGTTAGGGATGCTAGGAGTCTATAAAAATGAATGTACTCTTTCTGTTGAGATATGCTTCTATATCAGAGAATTTCCAGCATTATTCCTTGGTGATTATGTGATGCAGTCAACCTTAGGTGCCACACCTAAGCAACCAGGTGTTAAGCTCAGGCTGTCTCTCTTAATTGTGTTGTGCAATCAAGAATCCCTAGCTGTGAAGCCGAGGTTCTTTTCTCTCTTCTTGATTTTTTGATTCAATCAAGGAATCCTAGATTTGAAGCTTAGTTTCTTTCCTATTCTTGTTCTCTTTTCTTTGTTCAATATTTTCTCAAGAATATCAGAATACAAAACAGTATAAATTCCTGGGCCCTTGCTGTGCTACATCACTCTAACTTTATAACGTCTGTTATATCTCATGCCTGGAAAAACACTAGCGCAAAGCAGTTGTCAGGTACTCTTTTTAACTCTGAGACTTGTCTTCGAAGTCCATTATTTTCAGCCATGGTGTAGTACAAGGGAGGCAAAGACAGAGGAAATGGTACACAATAAAAATCAGAGGGAAAGAGGAAGACAGCACAGGAAACTGAAGGAGAATATTAAGAAACTGAGAGAACCAATGGGGAGTAATCTCCGTACTCAAATCTCAATTTATAGTCTCTACAATCAAATGCTAATAACTCAAAACTTAATACTTAATATTATCAAAAGCTACTAATCTGAAATAGTTGGTTTTTATAAATTTCTCCTATAATGTAATACCTGGTAAAAAGGGTATGCACAGTTTAGGCTTTCGTTGCCTTGTCCAATAGGCTGTTTGCAGGATAAGGCGAGACAGATAGAGAGATCTCATTAAGAGAGGACGGGACTTACTCTTACTGAAGATTAAGAAAGTCTTCTTATATACACAATTTGATGTCGTAGGACTGAAATAAGTAGAGACTTTTCTACTTTAAGTAGAGCAGAAAGCAGGTCAGATGATAACAGAAATGTACTAAGTAGTTTCAATGACTGAAAATAACCTTAAATATATTAAAATTACAACCAATTTCACAAGAAATAAATTTAACACTCTGTCATTAGTATTATGTCATATGGTTTTCCTTGATTACATTTGGGATAGAATGGTAAATAAAAGGATTACATTGGTCAATAAAGCCTTTATTCTTCACTTGCTTGTACATCCATGGACTTGATATTTGAACATTTACACCTAACTTGCACAACCTCAATTGTTAGCTTAAAATACCTACTTCTTGTTTGTTTGAGCCTTTAGATGGTCATAGATCATGTTCCACTGATTTGTCAGCCTTTGCCTACCTTGATTCTTCAATACTTGATCCTTTGTTTGTATGGTTGTAGTCTTTGAGCTCATCAATCAAGGGTGCATCCACAACTTTCAAGGATGCTCTGTGTGTGTGTGTGCTTGTGTGCAATTTGTTACCGTTAAAATGAAGGTTATTCTCATTGGTTTGTTGAGATACCATGAAAGGAAGGTGGTTCTCGTTGGGTAGATGATTTCTTATTATGAACTCAACTTGTATTAGCTGATAGTTTGAATGTCGTCAAAGATGTGGCAAAAACTTAAAATGGCATGTGTCTTAAACAGTAAAAATGAACATGTAATTGGTTCGGTGATCTGTTTAACGTTAATAATCTAAGCAATTATGTGTATTATATTCAGGGAGTAAAGGAAAAAGATCCGGGATTCAGAAGTTCACTGCCTTACGCTTATTTAATCTCAATCATTTAAGAACTGGACATGTTTTCCGGTAATGAGTATTGGTTTCTATTTTCACGTCAAATTTGTGTCTACTCATCTTTAGAGAATTGGAGGAGAACGTAATTTATAGAGAGGTGCTTTCTTTTGCAGAGGCCATATTTTATATGGAAATCATCTTCAAAAATTCTGGTTCCCTATACATACAAGAAGGCATCTTGGAAAATTCTGGTTCCTCAAAGTCTTACCATACTGATGAATATTGTTTGCGTATAAAATTGTTGTATTTTAATGATTATAGTTTCTATTTTCTGCAGATGGCTAGTGGCCTTTTAGCCAGTTGAATCAGGGGTGACAATCAAAATAAAATGTGAGGCTTTTGAGATCTTTGCATGGTGCTTTTAGTAACTCATTTCTTAAATTCTGATTCTTGTATTAATATGTAGCATCTTACTATGCATGCCAACCGATTTCAACTGCTGGATTTGGATGTGGTATCTTTGAATGCCCAGAACCATTTTCCTGCATTTGGTGTGGCTTTCTTGTTTTCTTCCACCCCTGTTTCAGGTACTGTTTTCATGCGAGCCAGGATTTTCTTTCTACCTCTTAAATTGTAGATTTGATATTAAACTAATGATAATTTAATACATTCATTTCAAAGTTAATATAAATTTAATCAAAGAAATTTTCAAAATATTTAAGATAAAATGCCTTGACTTTTTTATTTTTTAATCATAATATCATGAATTCATTAATATTCAAAATAGACAACTTTTTTCAAAAGAATATTTTTGGTTGAACACATAAGATTAGGTATTAATCAATTGTTAATGTTTTTTATAGTTTGACGATGAAGTAATATTTTTTAAATTAAAAATTATTAAATTATATAAATTATAATTTTTTATTTAAAAAAATTCTCTTATTTAAAATAAAAATCTTTTTACCCTACTTCTTGTCGGTTGACCATTTGACATTTTCAAGATCGTGCTCTTGTTGGAAATAAAAATCTTTCCAAGGAAATGCACGGTGCATCCCATGAAAGTGTTGATCTCTCACTCTCCAGGGGAGCGCGAGATCTGAAGTGCACGATTAGATGTAGAGTGCGGCCAGATTGTGCTTTAGTGGAGAGATCCGACTAGTATAAAGAAACATTGGTCGATTTGAGAGAAAACAAAAAAGTGAAAAAAATAAAGAAAAAAAAATATTAAAAAAATATTTAAAATATTTATGTGAAATTATGATAAAAAATTAAATTAAGATATTTTATTTAAATACTTAATATTTAAATTGCAATAAAATACAACTTTGAACTTTAATTTAATTAATTAATAGCAAGTAAAAATGATGTTAAAATTAATTTAATCTCACGATAGACTAAAATTCAATAAATTTGTAATTATATAAAAAGTACTGCAGAAAAGGGAAAAAAAAATAATGAATATGAAGTATATTTATATTTTCATCTAAATTTAATGCTATTACCTTTTCATGAAGTCATAGGGTATTTTCCAAACTGAAAAAATATAAGTGTAGTTCTTTTTTATCAAATTTCAAAGAGTTTTTGTACTTTTCAAATTAAATAAAACATTTGGCATAGCCTCAGTAATATTACCTTGGTTAGCATCCAGCTCCTTGTGAACATGAAAAGGTAATCAAGAAAAGGGAAAATGCTACAGGTTATTAGTGGAAACATCAAATACAAAAGACAAATCATACAAGAAATGGGCTGGGGCCGATTCATGTTAGCATATTATGCATTATTTAGCAGGTGGGGACAGTGGGAGCAAATCCATTGGCCAAAACCATGTGCTAATCCATAGAAAAGGTTTGCAGACATCATTCTAATAAAAGCATACCAGTACCTCAACAAAGCATTCATCCACCGTTTTATTGGCATCCATAGGAAAATGAAAGAGGGGGAAAGGATGAGGGATCATGCAAGTACAGGGAAGTCCACAAAAGCTCTGTAGAGATTAGGGAAAACCCATTTGTACACTTAGGTAGGTTTCTGGATGAGAAAGGACATGCACTGAGCCTGTCGCTTATTGTCAAATGCCAGGCAGCGGATATAAGCATTTGGATATGCCTTTCTGCACTCATGAATTTCATTCAGGACTTGAGCGGAGTCGTTGCACCCAAACATTGGCAGCTTCCAAAGTGTCCAATACCTTCCATCATAGTACCCTGGAATTCTGCTATTCTCCCTTTGGACAGCCCCCACCTAGCATTTTCATAAGGAAAGCCATTTTTGTTTAAACTGTTAGATGTTGACACAAGCTAGGCAAACCCAACCTAAACTATAAAGAAAGAAGAGAAAACAAAACCATTCAATATATATTAATTGATTTCTAATAATCTTCAGGAAGATACTATATACCAGAGAATCAGGGTTAAAGAAGATGTAGACTGCTTGTCTGATTCTTGGATTTTGGTTACAGCTCAGTGTTTAAGCAGGCTATACAGAAAAGAAGACACTAAAAAGTTGAAGGCAGTAACTGGGCAAAAAACATTTGCAGCTGGGATCTTGAATCAGAACAAGGAGGTTTCATGAATAGTGAAGGAGCAAAACAGTACTCTGCAGCCATTCTGTTTGAGCATAGACGCTGGATTGAGAAATGTTTATCCAGAGATGCAAGTGGCAGAGGACTGTAATTGCAATTTTTTACACGTGAGTGATCAAAATAAAATTATCGGTTTGTGGAAATTGAAAAAAGTTGCTATTTTTTATTACTGAAGCTGGAAGTGGAACATATATTGTTCATATTACCTCATCAAATTCAAGGCAAGGGATCCAGCCCTTCTTCATCATGTAATCAATTTCCCTTGCAATCGAGTCATCTGAGAGAGGTGGAAGATAAGAGAGCGTCTCAAACTTCTTGTTGTTGATTGGATTCCATGTCTGTTCAATCCAAAGGCTATTACATAATTAGAAGTCAGTCAAAAAATATGATCAGAAGCTAAACAGTTACCAGATATTTCACTCTGATCACGGTACCTTCATGCAATGAGTTCTTGAACCATTGGAGACAGTTTTCCGGCTCCATGCAATAGAATCCTTAGCTGGGAGCAGCTTTGGAACATTTGTTTTCAAGCCAACATAGCTAGAACCGGCGACTGGAGCTGCAAAGATTCCGGCAGACATCTTTGGGGCAGCAGGTGTTTAAAGAAAAAGTTGAACAGCTGTAACTGGAGTGAGTGTATTAGGACAAATGATGAATAGTTTGTGTTGAGGAAGTGGGAGAAATAGAAGAACAGAAGGAGCTGGCCTGATGCCTGTAAGCTGATGTATGGTTTGTTAAAGAGAAACAAGGTTAACTGGGTCAGATTTGTATTAAGATAGTGGAGGGGTTATTAAGGCTCTTGGGCTTCGGTTTTATCACCAACTGGTCTGCTTTTGTTTTACTATCGCCCGTACGTTTGTCAAGCAGGGAAAAAGGCGGTTGGGACCCGCCAACCCAATGATTCCACTGCGGTGTTGAAGACATCAGCAGCGTACCGCTTGAAAGCAAGACAATGGATGACCGATGATTCATTTCTATCGTCTTGGCGTTTGCCCCAGCTGAGTATTTAACATCGGTGGGTAACTTTTAAAGCTCAAAGAGACAAGACACCCAAGTTAGGTAACTTTTAAACCCATCGACCAAGATTTTGTTTTGACCCAACCCAAGGAATAAGGGGCATGTGCACCAAACAAGATCCCCACTGACTGAAGAACCTATGTGAAACTAGAGCTGTACACTCATCAGCCGTCTGACGATCTTATTGCTACCTTTGCTTTATAAACTGCTAATCCTGATGTTAGTTCTTGTTATCCTAAATTTCAATTTTATTCACAAAAAGCTCTGTTCGAGGTAGAAGAAACTTTTGATGTTTTGGTACGGTGGAAAAACAACCTAAGTGCTTGGCCATGACACGTGATGTAATAATCTCTTTCATGTATCACGAGAAAATTGATTCTATCTTACATCGGATAAAAATGAGAGGTCTTGGACTTTTTATAAGTGGTGTGCTGCATACTCATGTAAGCGTGTTTATAGAGAAGAGGGTAATAATCCCGTGACAAGTGATATTAAAACGAATCGGATCTCGTCTGACTCACGTCAAGCACCCGGGTCCAAAGAGACCCACGGTAAGTAAGATGGTCGACGGCAACGAGGACGTTGTTGAAATTAGGTGAAAAAGAATATCACGAAAAAAATACCTCTATCTCATATCAGACAGAAACAAGAGGCCTTGAACTCTTTATAAATGAGTGTACTACACACCCTCATAAACGCGTTTATGGGGAAGAAGGTAATGACCCTGTGACCCCCGTGACACATGTCCATAGTTGCATCAAAATCATGTTCTAGTACAGATGGTAAGAGTTATTGATGAAATGTGCAAAATAATTAATACATTGGCTAAATAAAAAAACAAAAAGAAAGGCTTCACTGTGATTTGGATTTGATATTTTGCAGCATGATTGTTTCCGGTCTTCAATTTTCCATACAGTACCTGTGTACACTGTACATAAGGTTGTTTCAACTACGTTTTCTTCAATATCAACAAATAAAAGCTGAGAAAAGGCACTCAAAATCCCAGCATGCAAATGTGATTTTACCTATTTCAAGTCCTAAGCAGTAAGCACTACCAACCCCAGAAACTATATATTTAAAAAAAGAAGAAATTTAAGGGGTTAATGCCTGTCATCCTGTGTGGATGCATCCGCTACTCTGCCTGTGACTCTTTGATTGCTAGTATTATTTTGGTTGGGACATGCCTCAAGAAATTATAGAGAAAGAAACCGAAACACCATAAGCCATGGACCGTTCTATAAAAGGATGAGAATTCTGGCATTCTTACATAATCATAAGAATGACAAAAGCTAATCGTAAATATAAATCATGGTTGGTTGACAGTCTAAATGAAGAATGTTATGGGTCTAAAGAATTATACTAACACAAACCCTGAGCAGGTTTGCACTCAAAAACTACTTGATCTCAGGAGGACCCATGGATGTCAGTGCCAAAGCTTCATGCAGAAGCCAGCAGGCACGACAGATGATTTTTTGCTTGAGATACAATCAGAAAATGTGTCCACAAGCTGCTCTGCAAGAGATGCTGGATCTGTAATGAAGATATCAACAAAGACCTTCACAATCCTTACCTCCTGTGGGGTTGCCCGCAAGCTGTACCAGGTGAGGAATTTCTGCCTAAAGTTTTTCTCAATATGTCCCTTACACTCTAACCATCTGATCACCTTCACGCAATGCTCAAAATCCGTATCTGAGAGACCATTTTCCACACATTCCTCATCCCGCCTCTCCCCACTTCTCTTCTTTGAGGTGCTGCCATCTTGGGGTTCTTCTCCTTTCCCAACACCATTCTCCAGGTCCTTGTTGCTGGACTTAGATCTCCCACTCCTTCCTGGTCCATCTTTAATTATTTCCATCCTGCAGGGAGTAATCGGCAAGCCAGCTTCTGAGCAACCAAGAAATGGCACACACTCAGTACCAGTCTGAACTGGGGCATCAGAGCCATCATCCGTGCTTGTCTCCTCAGTAATTGGGTCTTCTGATGTGTGCTTTTTCTCAACATTTAGGACAACAGAATCAGGCATAGGTCGAACTATCTCCATGGCACGTTCCCCACCCAACAGGGAAACTGCATCTGCTGGAACTCCATCTTCACCCAGGACAGTGCAGTTGAGAGCACCTTTAGAGAGATTCGTGGAAACAATTTTATCAGTGTCCTTGCAATATGTAACATAATTGTCTGCTCGGTCATCGTTCTGATCACTGTATGGAGTAATGTTATTAGTTTCATCCTCCACCGAAGATGGATTAGAAAGGCTGCTACAGTTAGTCACTGGGCTTTGACTTCTTTCCATCACTGGGCAGCTTGGGACTTCATCCCCACTACAGGCTGTTGAAATTCGAGCTTCCCATGGACCAAACTCTTTTGTACCATTAAAGGAGACAATTTTGAAATGATACTCAGTAGCTGGAGTTAGCCCTGTGACAACAAACCTTCTATCTGGCACACACAGAGTACAAGTTGATTTAATAGGGTAATCCCTATCATGAACCTTGCGATGCCATAAGGTGTAACCAATACTACTGCCTGGTAAAGGTTCTTCAGAACCCACAATCACAACAAGGGAAGTTGGACGAACATCTTCAAAGCGTACTATTGCTGGAGGAATTGAACTTGAACCAGCTGAAAATGAAAGACAAGTTAATAAACAAAATGATCAAAAAATATTTCATCAAAATTCACTTGAAATAAAAGATTACACAGGATTAACACTTCATCTGACGCTATAGAAAACCCATTTAATTTTGATGCTAAGAGTCCTACAAGCTAAAGATTACCTGCTACTGAATGATTTGGTGAAGAATGTGAGATTGTATCAAAAAGGATTTTATCTAGTGACTCCACAGCAGAAGAACAGAGTTTCTGAACTTCTGGCCCTGAAGAAAGCCTGTTGACAATACCCCTACCCATCTTCACAGGCAAACCAGTTAATGGACCTACTTCAGCTTCAAGCTTCTTAACAGCTTCATCAACAATCTCAGAAAGCTTTCGGTATTTTTCAGTCCCATTAAGAAGTTTTTGGCCTAGAGAGACACGATAACAAAGTATGTCCACCCTCCTCGTATCTTTTGCAGCCATCAGTTGTTTTCTCCAGCACCTAAATGCATATGGGAACTGATTCGAATCAGACTGTACATTGACATTCTTGATCGAATAAATGGCAAACATATCATTTAACACAATCAATATTTTTCGTTTAGTATTTTGCATTTACATGCATTCTTCCTAATATAATGTTGTAGCGGGCATTAAAAGAGTATCAATATCAAATTTAGTTATTACAGAGTTTCTATTTCCTCAACTGTTTTGCAGAAATCAACAGTGAATTCTAGGTTTTTCCTAGAAGATAAGAGAAGGTTCATAAACTAACATTCTCTGCAGCTTAGAGCCAAACCAATGAATGAGAATTCGATAGTGGCTTCCAGAATGCATTACCAACATTTCAAACATGCACAAGCGTTCAACAGAGTAGTGAAGTAAAACCGAGCCAAAAATACTGAAGTATACTGTTTTACTGTGACAAATATGTACATCAACGAGAACAAAAAATTCCATGAGGAAAACAATATCTTCGGTTTCAGTATCTAGAAATAATCTAAATGAATAGAGGAAAGGGAGAAGTTTCCTTTGTTCTTTCCTCTCTGTGTGTGAGTGTGCCTGTGCTGCATTAAAGAGAAGAGAAATCACAGAACACATGCAACATGATGCTTCATGAAACATGCAATTGCTGATATGGAATAACTAACACAACAAAACATGTAATTTAACATTATACCTTGAGCATATTTTACGTTTCTTTTCCCTATCAATCAATTTATGTTCCATTCAACTTTGTCTCTAAGGAGACATAACTGATTCATATCCTACTACAGCAAATAGCAAATAGTTGAAGTAATACTTATGGCTCATGCTGTAAAGCATAGGCATATATCACATGGCCAAGGTACAGCATAAGAGTACAATCCCAGCCTAGAAACATAAAGCTACGCAAGAAATGGCAAGAATGAATGCCCAGTAAAACCTTTAAAGTGGGACTTATCAGGTCTACAATGTGACATGATGGTGTAGCATACTCCTTGAAAAACCAAATTCAAGTAATCAAGAAAAATATCAACTGAATTGCATTTCATCGTGATCTTTGAGAAACTAACAACCTTACAGCTTTAAATTTGTAATGACGTATATAACTCCTGAAGGAAAAATCAGTCAAAACTAATTCTGAAACATACAAGAGGTCTTATAAAGGCCAGTGTAACCTTTCAAAAAAAACTAAAGGCCAGTGTAATCACGTAACTACTCTGTAAAATTAAACATGATGGTGCTTGGAAAATACATTGATCAAGAAAAAGATTATTAAAAGTAAAAAACTGTAACTTTGGCACTTCCACATCCTATATGCCCTGGAAATTACAATGCACCATTTAAACTCACAGAAGAAAAGTAACCATAGGAATCATTGGTTAAAGATGCACAAAACAACTTCATAAGTGAAAACAAAAAAGCATGTCAAAATGCCAGTATACACAAGATGACTATGATAACAAATACTCTAGGCTCTAGAAGATAAAAGAAAGGAAAGCAACAACAAAATATCCTTACGTTAACAAATCAACCGACCAGAGTTAAAATATTCAACCTTTTTCTTGCACCAATCTAGCAAAATTAAGCTGAAAATTAGATTCACAAAACCAAAAGATTTACAATGATAATCATACTGCTAATTCTTGAAGTACAACTCCAATCTTCATGCTTGGAGGTAATTCAACTGCCATAACTCAATTGCTTATTCTCAAAGAAGTAGCAGAAGAGACGGACAGATATAAATGAAGGGAAAGGAAAATTAACATATGTTCAACTGGCATATTACAACTGAAGTGATATGAAACTTTAGTACACTAATATGTCATGGTGCATGAGCCAGTCTGTAGCACAAAACAAACCAGAGTTTTCTTGATAATAAAGCTGGTATGCAGAATTAGTGGTGTTATGCAACTATGTCAAGCTAGAGATGCTAAATCGAAGACTGAAATTCTTTGGAGAAAACAGTAAGATATACAACAAGAAGCCACCTAACAAAGGCAAGAGATAATTGGATTGAAGATTAAGGGTTAGTCATTAGCAATTGCTTCTAAAATACCATAGAAGCCCCATGAAAAGCCAGGATTATCCATTCAACCTAATCGCAGATGAAAACGATATCGACAAACCGCCATGAAATGTATAACTGAGATAGAAACTCAAGATATATAAATTTAATTAATGATACATCAGGAAATTATTGTTGAGGGCTTATTCCATACCTCAGAGCAGGTATATTCCATGTTGCCCAAACATTAGTTTAGAATGCAGAAGAACCAGCATAAGACGGCATACATTTCTCCCCAATTAAAATGAGGATCCACGTTCCAGCTCCCTAGATCCCTTATATGATCCATAAAATATTATAATACTATCAACAATTTCCTAATTTTCAAAAATTTTACAAGTTATACATCTACATCAAAAATTCCTCAAGTCAGTAAGTACCTTAGTATATCTTGAACAAGTGGCACTCTTTTTCTTCAATTTACAAATACTTGTACTCTTAATTAAGTTTTTAAAATATGTTGTTTCACATTCCAATATATTCTCTCACCACTCCTGCAACCAAGTAACAAGGTATCCACATTCATTGGAATTTAAGTGTGAAGATATCGTTTAAGCATCTTGGTCCATTTTATTCAGAAGATTCAGCCATGGCAGCTACTCCTTCAAGCCAGATCAACCTCTCTCCATTATGAAACATTTCCTTTATTGTTATCCATTGAAATATAAAAGTTCTGAGTTAATCCCTTCATAATATCACATTGAGACCTTAAAGAAATTCTTCAACTTAAAAATTCCGTCATCAGGGGCTGATGCTAATAGTATCTCAACCATTCTGTTACATAATTGCCAAACAATTCAAATTAATGTCAACAAATAAAATTAGGAACAATTGGAAAAAGCTGGATGGAGAACAAAAACCATCCATAGGCAACAGCAAGGTGAATTCACTCACATGATTAAACAAGCTGCAGAATATCATCAGAGGAAAGTTTCATATTATCTAATACCAGCAAAAGTTATTTGCACATCTTTCATCTCCAAGTGCTTATTAATCACAAGCATGAGGATAACAATTGAAAGAATCAAAGAGATAAATTTAGGATCTTCTTTAAACAAATTACAAGTAAAAAAGAAGTGTTAATCAATTAGCAATTATGGTCATTGATAAATATCCATACTGTCAGGACCAAAAGATCTGCAAGCACCACAGTGAAACAGAAAAAAGTAAAAACTCACTGAACACTATACCACAGAAAGAAACACACACACAAAACAGAAACACAGATAAATATAAATATAAATATATATATACATATATATATACAGTGAGAGAGAGAGAGAGAACGAGAAAGACAGAGGGTATAGAGAATATCTAGGAGAATTTACCCGAGCAAATCATTTACTTTCCCACATGCTACACAATAAAAGCTCCCATCAAGTCCAGCATGTCGTCTATCTTTTCCAATACCAGACTTCTCATGTTTTAAAGCACATTCAAGATGACATGACATGCCACAAGAATTGCCCAGGAAAGGAGGCTCTGAGCTACAGATTAACCACAGGCTAGGATCCTTGTTGTCATCAAACTTATAACAGATGCAGCAGGAACACCTCTTGCAAAATGCATCTTCTTGCCTCAAGGTAGCTTTGCAAGCTGAGTTTTTGCAAAAAATAGCATTACTCATGTCATTGCCACCAGTAGTGATTGCCAGATCATTCACAGGTACAGGCAGTCGGGAAGGATTATCAGTTTTCCTCTGCCTTTTGGATGTTCTCTGGCCATTTGTTGGGGAAGGTTGGGATTCCGGATCTGTTACACCCTCATGTTCACCAGAATTCTTTTCAGCTACAATTTTCAAAAGGTTTTCTATAATTTTCAGCTTAGTCAAGCCAGTATATTTCCTTTCCTTCCCCATCTCTGCACATAGGATCTGTAAAATCTCCTGACGGCTCCAAGATTGTAGCATTTCAGAGGCCCTATGTGTCCTCTTTGATAATTCATAAACAAGTTCTCTCTTTTCGTCCATACTTAATTTACTACATTTTGATGGATCAAGTGCAACTCCTACAGCCAAGGGGACAGAATATTGCAGGTTAACAAAGTGGAAGCAAGAGAAGGTACCCAGATGAACATGAAATCTTAATACTTGTATTAACATGACAAAAATGTTGGAAATATTAAACAAGAAATTTATATAATTATTTTAAAAAATATATAAAATAAGAAAAAAGAGCATTATGTAAAGATGAGAAAAAACAGTAAAAACCTCTAACAAATTCAATAATCAACAATCCTTTGTATCTTTGCCTGCCTCAGAGATAACAATCATGTTTTCCACGCCAAGCACTTGACATGCAACAATGACAACCAAAAAGGTAACAAAAGCACTAACAACAACACTGAACCTCCTAAAACTCTTGATTGCTGTTTGCTAATTACTGTTACTAACCAATTATGACAGTCATTCGAGAAGCTTCACAAGAATTAACCTAATATTAGATGTCCTAATAAACTTAATTAATCAAACTAATAGTTGACTTGCACTAAAAAGGACATTCCAACTTACATCAACTACCATGCATTGTTTACAGGACAATCCAATATATCTTGATATAGCCACCTCAAGTAAGGGATTGAACACAATGCCCTTTGACTTTTGAAAACCTCTGGCTCTTCACTTTCAACAGGGTTGTCAGACAGGGTTATTTAGGACGGTAGCGTGCTCATTAAATATGAAAACATGATATATTATAAGGTTAGTTCTGCTTCACATACGTCTATATAATGCATTCACATAATAATATGCTGAGAAAAGACACCACTGGCATTATGCATAATGAAAGCAAATACAGCAAGGTAACAGTCAAATTCACCCACCACAATAAATTTCTAAGAAACCAATATACAGGATGCTGAACAAATCAAAAGACAAGATGGTCTCAACTTTCCACGTATTTCCAGAAAAAGAAAGAATAATTTAACAGAAATCATATATATTTAAAAAAAAAACATATTTACTGATGTCCAGAGACACCCAATAACTCGATTAACCACAAGAATCAGAAAACCAAGAAATAGACGAAAAACTGAAGCAATTTGACTATCATGCAAATTGCGAGTCCTTTAAAAGATCTAAACTTTATGACTTTAAATAAACCAAAACCGAAAGCAAAAACAAAATATTCAATGCCCAGATTACATATCCCTCACAAATCTGAAAAGAAAAGGAAATTACATTACGAAAGAAGAAAAATAAAAATTTACCCTCAAAACAGGAATCCATGGCTAAAACAGCTGAATAATAGGAGAGCACTCAACACAACACCCACATTACCATCAAAACCCCAACTTTTTGAAGCCTGTGAGCAAAAAAGACAGAAACTTCCTATTAAAAAAAACCACCAATTAGAAACAAAAATACTAACAAAATAAACAAACAAACAAATTCCTTTAAGAAAAAAAAAAAAGAAAAGGGGGTAGAGAGAGAGAGAGAGAGAGAGAGAGAGAGAGAGGGAGAAATATGATGATGATGATGATGATGATGATGGGAATAAGGCATAACAAATACCAAGAAAGGAGGCTTGAAATTCAGCCACAACAAAAGAATCCATGACTTACTTGGGGTTGAGAGTTGAAAGCCTTGCTTATTCCTATTCCTTCTCTCCTCTCTACATAATATGCAAAAACAAAAAAATATATATATAATTTTTTTTTGTTGTATTAAATGGGTCCTCCCTCTTTTTGTTGTGGGAATTCGATTTTGTTTAATTTTTTATTTTGAGGACCCGAAGCAGTAATGAAAGGGAGATTCGAGGAGTGGAGGAGTTGTTCTAATGTGAGAGAGAAAGAAAAGGGAGGAATTATATAAATACTAAATAATAGTTATAATAAGAGAGAAAAGCGAAGGAAATAGTTGAGTGTGGAGTTCTATGGGCTATGAGAGATGAGGAGGCGATGCAGTTGAGGATGAGAATTGAGAGAGAAAGAGGCCGAAAGCCGCTGCATGTCATCTTCTTTTTCACCCTCTCTCTTCACGTTACTCCCTTTTTTTATATTTTTTCTTTCTTTCTTTTTTAATCCAATCATTTCTTTCCTTTTTTTCCTCTTCCATTTAGATATTTTCTTTTTTTTTGTGATAGTAAACATTAAAATTAATATTAATACAGAGTCAGTCACATAAACAGTAACAAATTTAAAATTTTATGTAAAAAATAATTATAAAAAAATTATTATATATGTATCAAGTTTTATATATTTAAAAATTAAAAATTAAAAGTGACAACTGTCATCCTGAATTACACTCAAGTATGTGATTCATTAATTGATGTATTATCTTCTTATTTAAAAAAATAAAATTCAAATCTCTTTTTTCGAATTATATAAAAAAAAATGTCATCACCAATCACTCAACCAATAAATATAAATAAACTGAAAAAATAGAAAAAATACAAGTTTAAAAATAAAAAATTTGAAAAAATAATAATAACTTTTACCTACTCAGACAGGTGCAGTCAAAATATCTATTTAGGGACAATTTTAATATATAGTTATACAAATATGATATTAATGTCTACATAACACTAATCTATACAACCATTTTCCTCAACAATTAAAATATACTTTTTGTGATTTAAATCTTGTTCGGTTTTCTAGACATTGTCTTTAAAAGGAAAACTTTTATTAAAATTTCCCTCAATTCAATTAATTCAAATAAATTTTAAAAATAATTTAACCTGCTAAATCAAAACCACCCTTTCAAGTTTCATCCTTGTTTTGCACGCGATAATTAGTATCATTTTATTCTTGAGGGGATACAACATGAATTTTCAATTTTAAAATCATATATTTATACTGTTATCTATTGTCGTATAAATCATATTAAGTAAAGTTTTAGATGTTTGAAAAAAGAAATAAAAGTAATCACTCTCAACTTTTTGTATAAGTTTATATATGAAATTTTTTGACAAAACAACAAATACTCTATTAATTAACATAGTTTACAAGGCAACTCCAAATTTGGAAAAGAAAAAATCGAATTTTATTTTTTAAATAAAAAATAATGTACTAATTAATAAATTAAATATTCAAATATAAATTAAAAAATTATTTAAGTAGTATGACATATCTTTTTCCAGGCAGTTACTTTTTTATCTGTTTTATTTTTGCTAACACGAAGGAAGAGGTGCAAAGTACCGTATATATGTATCAAAAGTGGTCCTATAAACCTTGGTCTGACACTGCCTTTCATGGTTGGATAGCTCTTGTTTGTACCACTTACGACTCGGTAGAAAGGTCCAAGGTAAAACTGTAAAAGTACCATATTTTGTTATTCGTCAGTTTTTCCGTTGTCCACAAAGGTTAGGGGGTAATCCACTTCACTCCACCCAACCCAAGTTTGGATACAAAATTATTATTAATTTTTATAAATAGTTTAAAACTTCACTGTAAGTTTAGACGAAAATTAAAATATAATCATCTTAGTTTTGGTACATAAATCTTGTATTATGAAAATTGTGTGTTACTACATAGATGAATGAGGTATATCCTATTCATAATTTAACTCTAATTAAATATTGTAATCTAATTAGATGATAAAGTTGTATTATGATCTTAACTAAATAATTTATATAATTATTTTACCAATTAATTTGAAAAAGAGGCGAGTCAACTTTAATGATAAGATATGAGAAAAAGAATACTTGGTATTTAAATATTTGTGCTCCAAAAAGGGACTCCTTCAACCACAAATCCACGATTCTCTTCTTGTTGCGACAAAGCAGGTAGAGAAGGAGAAGGCACACTTTGCAGAAGTTGTATCATGTGCTTCTATCCCACCGCACACAAATTAAATAAGAGAAACAAATCATACAATCCATAGTATTAAATTCAAGAGATAAAAAGGGTGTTTGATTTGGCCACTTTTAAATGGGATGGCCCTCTCATATTTAATATACTAGTGTCTTTTGGTGTCTGAAATCCCTGCACCAACGGGCAAAGGATGGAAGTGGTCGATGACAGCAAAGGCAGGCAAGTTTTTTCTTCTTCTTTTTTTTTTTTTTTGAATTTGAAAAAAAAATTAAATTTTATTTTTAAAATCAAATACTAATCAATAAATTAAATATTCAAATATCACAACAAACAAGCTTGTATCGGATTGACATCTTATTATACTTATTTGTACAAATGATAATGCTCCCGATGCTAGCCATTTGCCTTATTACTACGATTTTGCCATTTTCAAGCTTAACGCTCGATAAGTATTATTTTGTCCAAAATGATAATTTTTTCCTCATAAAAGTTAGTTACTTCTCCTACCATTATATTCGGTCTCAATCTTTTCCAACTGTTTAACATGCGTTGCCCGTAATTTTAGTCCTGATATGGCGGCCAAAGACTAAAATTTGAAACTTTGTCTTTTCTCAAATGGTTAGATAAATGTGGTTTATTAAGTAATAGTTAAAATAGTTAATTACTTTTCGTTATTTTATAAAGAGTCAATTACTTTTTGGGTCACCTAATTTTGTGTAATTTTTTGTTTTAATCATTCAATCTAAAAATTAATGTATTGATCATTAAGGTTTATAAACATTTGTTTTGTCACTAACGGATTTTTCATCCGCTCTTTCACGTGATTACATCCGCTTAGTAATTTTATTTTAAAAAAGAGTTTTTTTATTAATATTATTGTCACAAAAACATAATTATGTGACAGAACAATTGACATGAAATGCAAAATAGGTATTTGTTATATTTTAATAGTGAATGACTAAAATAATAACAATTATAAATATGAGGGACAAAAATTTTACTTTCCAAAATTAGATGACAAAATAAAAAAAATCTTAAAACGCTAAGCAACTAAAAAGGGTAATTTCCTCTTTTAACAAAGTAATCTTTCTTCTTCTTTCTCAACAAGGAAAGGTGGCAATAATTTTAGTTGTGCACTGCAAATACTTCTTCAAATTAGAGCTCTTAGTTATGAGGTCATCCTATTTGTGATCTTAAGTGATGATTTTCTCCATCACTTGAGCTTAATATATCGTATTAAACAGCAAGGTGATAATCACATTAACGCCACTCTTTTTCCAAAATCTCATTGATGCTAGATCATCAATTGGCATGTATATAATTTAGTAAAGCATATACAATTTGATAGGCAATATTGAAATAAATATACATAAATATAAGTTGATATGAAAATAATAGTATAAATTACACTTACATATGTTGTGTATGTTTGCATATCTATTCTTGTTTATGTTTCACTCGCACACATACATATAACTTAACATCAAACTTGGTACAATTTATGCAGTTAAAATTTAAATATTGTATCACATGCTTAATATTCATAGTTTATACTAACCTGTAAGGTATTGTCCACTCTGATATAATTGGATTTCACTATTTAATCTCTTTCACGATTTTGTCTCATTAATGAAGTTTCATAAGTTAAAAATGATGTGAACACTTAAATACTCAATTTCACTCTAATACATACTGGATTTGAAATTAATGACTCTCCTTTGAGACTATGACATCCCCCACTCCAATTGGGATTCATTATCCTCAATGACAGATCGCTAGCTAGTACCCTATAGTCGATCTATCATGGTCCACACCAACTTGTAAGGTATTGTTCGCTTTAATTTCACTAGGCTTTATGGTTTTGTCTCACAAAAAGAACCTTACAAGTTGAAAAGGTGTAAATACTTAAATACCCAATCTCATTCTAATACACAATCGATGTGAAATTTATGACTTCCTTCTAAATATGTGACCTTAAGGCTATCACTTTCCCTTAATTCTATTACTTTAAACATACTCCTTAACCAATGAGAAGTAATTAAGACTTGAAGAATGCCGGTGACCACACACCCCAAGTGGTACATGATTAATTAGGATTCCACGTTATTGGTGGTGTAGAATCAACAAGGGTGATAAATTACAGCCCCATAATGCTCTGAACTGAGCCTTACTATATATTGACCTTATCCATATCTTATGAAACTTTCATAGTGAATATTATATATATATATATATATATATATCAATAGTTAAATTCTAAATTAGAATATTTTCTCTCCAATTTAGATACAATAAAGATTTTACTTGGTTGTTCTTAGATATTGCAATTTGGGTGTAAATATAAGAGTACTTGCTATCACAATTTATTTACTCATATCATGCAATTATTATTCATGAATTTTTTTTATGTACTTGTTTCTTAACCATTTTCAAAGAAGGCAAGAACAAGTGAACAACAAGTGTATCAAACTAATGAATGATTTCTATATCTCGGTAGAAAATTGTGAAAGATGATTTATTGACTGAAAAACATATCAAAATGACACTTTAATTTGTCACTATATTATGACTCAATATTAAATTTTATCATTTTACTTTAATTTTAAGGGCATAATGCTAAAAAATTCCATTGAACTATTTAAGAAAATTTAAATAAGTCTTTATCCTTTTATCATGATCAATCCAATCTTTGTATCTTTATTTTTAATTAAATAAGCCTTTATAACTAATGATTGGCTAAATGCAATTAAACAAAATGTCTATTGCCATTTTATGTTCATATAGCGATGACGTGGTGCTAATATAAATAGTGAAAAATACAATATGACTATGTCATCATGTAATATAAATATATCATGTCATTATCTATTATGATATATTAACATGTCATGTTAATGCCTGATCAATAATACTTGATATACAATGATAAGTGACATTTTGAATAAATCAACTATTAATCATAAATATTTATTTGACTCTAAAAAAAGGTTTAAGGACTTGATTAAATATAATAAACGTATAAAAGTTTATTTAAAATTTTTTAAATAGTTGAGGGCTTTTTGTAGATATTATGTCTAATTTTATTGAATTTTGACACTACATTTTCAATTATACTAATTTTAAGACAAAAAGTAACGGAATTGAAATATTCCTCACAACATCCTGTTAATGCAAGCTTATCTAGAAATTGAAGGATCCGTGTGCTTTGAGC